CCTGTCCCCCGGCTACCGCGGCCGCCATCCCGCTGAGGGGACAAGGCGCGATCCCCCCCCGCCGGCCGCCCCTCACCGTTGGAGATGTACACCATGGCGGCGGGCCGCGGGCGCTGTCCCCTCCCCTGCCCTCGGCCCCGCTGCGCGTGCGCGGGCGGGAGGCGCATGCTCAGAGCCTGCCGTCGGTGCCGCTGGTTGGCTTCCGGCTGAGGGAGGCTGAGGGGAAAGGGGCGGGGGCGGTGCCGGTGGCGGTGTCGGTGTCGGGGTCGAGCCTAGCCGAGCCGACATGGCTGTGGCGTGTTGTCCTGGTTCCCTTGCCACAGCAATCGTAGCGGCATGCAGCCCCCTGTTCAGGAGGGGTCCCCCGCAGGGGGCCGGCCGGCCTGAGGCGGGCGGTGTTGAGGTGGGGCGTCTCCTCCCTCAGAGCGGGAGGGTCTGGTTCACTCCTAAAATGGAGTTATGTTGGTAATTAACACCGCTGTGTAACGCAGTGTCGAAGGTTCCGTGCCGTGCGCGGTAAGCGTATGGTTTTACCAACAGTGACAGGAAACAATAACCGTAGTTAGTGGTATGTCAGGGCAGCTTTCATAAAAATTAAAGTGTTCTTCGTAGTCTTCCGTAGTTAACTTCTGCTGGATCTTTTGTCCTTCATCGCCGCCTCAATTTTCTCTGGTTGTTGAAGGGAGCCTCGTCCCTCCCAGCGGTTTTCTCTAATGGAATACTAAAAGTGAAAACTCACTAGTAATGTTAGAAATATGACTAAATGCAGATATTTATTTAAAACTACTCCCCAAAGGGAACTTGTGTTCCTTTTACGTAGTGACAGGTATGTGGCTATGTTTATACCCCTTTTGTTGGTGGGAATGTTCAGCCCAAAGTCGGGCGTTTGGTTGAATTTATTTCATTTTCATAAAAGCTTTGCCCTGCAGAGTGGCTAGCCTATCTTCTCATGAAGAATGTGCATATAAAATCAGAGCTAACTATAGCTATATAGGGAAATTTAATATAACACCTCTTTTTTTAAACTAAACTAGTAGAGAAGGGATGTATAATTCTTCTGGGAAACAGCAGTAAGAGAAAATGAATATAAAAGCATTTTAATACTGCCTTTGCAAGACCTACCTTTTTCTGATAACAATGAGGTAAAGTCTTTTGCTAAACCTCTTAACACAAGAGTGTTGCCTGAAGTTGAAATTGTAATATAATACGTCTCTGACAACGTAGTTGTCCCCTAGTAAAGAAATTGTTTGCAACTGATGGATGTTTATAAATTTTTGATGTTCCAGAAATAAACTCTTGCAAACAACTGAAAGCAACTGTGAAAGAGAGGTATTGGTAACTATGTATATAAAATAAATAGTTATCATTAATATAAGAGCTAGGTAACCTACCACTCAATAAATGGGGAAATACAAGTGTTTAGAAAATAGTGGGTGCTACGCAGTGCATAATGGGCATAAATGCAGGCAGTATGTTAAAATTATTCAGAGACAACATCTACCCTTTTCTATGCTTATGATGATTTTTTTCAAATAATAGTCAAGTGTAGTCAGATCAGTTTCAGTTTCCAAATTGCAAAACACAGTGTATATAGGTATAGAAGAAACACAGAGATTCAGTCAGTAATTTGAACATTGGTTTTAGATCCTCAGGGAAACCAGATAAATAGAATAATAAACTGGAAGAAAGATGTATAGGTGTACTTCTAATTTGTGGATTGCATAGTAGACCTGATATTGTGTGTTAGGTGATACTGTTACATAAATACTAAGTTTATACGGAAAGTGAAAACATTACTTTAAAAAGGTGATGTCAAATATTAGGAAAATAACAATACTCAAGGAAAGTATATGACAAATGCATACCTTTGTATTACTATGCTAAAGTGAAAATGAAAATGTCTTGTTTTTATATGATTTTCATAAATGTACTTTGTTTTCAAATGATTTTCATAAATATACTTTGTCTTCTTTTCACTAGGCTTTAAGACAAACCAGCAAATTATCTTATGTTTAAAGAACTATTGCACAAGTTGTAGATGCTACATTTACCAAGAAGAAAACAAAAAGAGGGAGGATGGCAATGGGAAGATAATGGCAGCAAGTAGAGATAACAGAGGTATTGTAAATTTTGTGGTGTATTGAAAACACACACAAACTGACTCTTGCTAATATAAAAACAAACATCACAGTCCAAACTCTGTACTGTACTTTAGACAGAAACATAATAGTGAACCTGAATACCAGCAGGTAATTACTCCACCTGAACTCATGCTCTGTATGCAGTTGATGTCGTCCTGCATGAATTAATATAATAAGGATTGGAACAATTAATTCCCTTTTTTAATGTATTGTCTTTCAGAGGGAATGTGTTCATCATGCAGAAAGGCACAATATATTTTTTGTTTTCCAGGTGACAAAATCCCCCCCAAACTCAAACAACAAAGAAGGTGATTAGTGGGTTGTTCAGTTGTTTTTTTTAAAAGTAAAATTATATGTGAGATAGTCTTGGTTTATCTAATAATAAAGTAAAAATGAGTATTGTCTCAGTGCCCTAAAATTGAATAATTACAATGCAAACTTTCTCTGTGAAATTTATTTTTAGTGAATGAAATTAAAGAAATATGCTTTTCAAATTGAGAGTACGTGTGTGTGTGTGTGTATATTCCTAACAGTTTTATTTTCCCAAGAAAGCATGTCCAGGTACTTAACAGTGGCAAAACAACCAACCATTGCATGAAATGATACATGAAAATGTTAGTATTTATAACTACTTTTAAAGTACTTACATATGCATTATTTATTTATTTATTTCCTTATTTAAGTTTTAGACATGAAAATGTGAGATTTAAAAGGTATGGTTAAAAATCAATGGTAGCATTGCATTACCAAGCTTGTTATCCATTGGCCTGTCCTTGGGTGAGGAACAGATTACAGATGAGGAATAGGAAAACAGTTATTCATGTGCATTTGCAGTTTATGATACAGTTGGGACAGCAGGTGTGGACATAAGCTCTGGTGGGAGCTCATTTCTGGTAGCACCACAACCCTGGCATCCCACTCTAAGCAGCTACTCCTTCACAAAGGGCAGGGCAGGTGTCTCTAGCTGTTGCTAGCTAGAGTCCTTCAGTGACCCACACCTTTGCTTTCAGTCTGTGTGCCTGATGCTGGGATGTTCAGAGGACCACAGCAGCAGTGCACCTGCGCTTAACGAAAACCAGTAGAAGGCAGCATTTTGAAAGTCAGCAACAGAATCACAAAACAGCTGGGTTGCCCTTCTGAAGGTGGGTACCATGAGGAATAGACCCAGGCGGTCATTGGTGCATAAGAGCTAAAAGTTAACATAGATGCTATTTGGAAACAGAGGACGTGATCATTTGATGGTAGGCAAAGTAAATACCTGTACAATGCTATGAAGAGTAGTGTAGGCCATATATTAAAATAAGTAATTGAAAAAGACCAATACTAAGCGGGCTTTTCATTTTTTTCAATGCAATCTGAAGTCTCAATGGGATACCTGGTTTTAGGTGGTTTGGTTTTTTAGGCTCTATTCCAGATGTAGATTTGTATAGTTTGATTCCTTGTGAATTGTGTATTTGCATATCGATACCTTAGTACTGGTGTCTGAGCAACATATTACTGTGCTTTAGTAATGTTTTCTATTTTTTCATTAAAAGTAGTAAAACCATGGGTCAGCTATTTTTATAACATTTTATATACTAAGGGATGACCTTTTAGTTGTGATGCAAGAGAACTCGAAAACTGTGTGCATAGAGGAGTGGTGATACAGCATGAACAGGGCTTGTACTCTCTAAAATTTATGCTACATTTTTAATATGAATGTAAACTTGACCCTGCCCTGAAGAGGACTTGCAAACTATTGACATTTGAATAGCAGAAATAGAAAAGGTATCTTTTTTTTTTTGCTGGCCTATGGTTTCTTCACACAGTGATTGTCATGTTGCACCATCACATAATTTAAATGGAAACATTAAAAATTTAATTTGGGCTTGAATTTTTCATAGAAGAGCTGATTGTCATGTAGTATTTGTCTTATGTACACGCAATTAATACTGTATATATTAGAGTGAGAAGGTCTTCTAAACTCCTAATTACAAATGTAGAATATTTATTGCAACACAAACATAAAATTCAGAGGATGTTTCACAGGATTCTGTTTTTTAGCAGCTTTTATAAGAAGAGTTAAAATAATTTGCTGTTTGTGGAAGAGCTGAAACTCAGTTCTTAGAGCTAAATTATGTTGATTTAATGTCAGAATTTTAAACAGAACATACCTGTTTAAGTAAGCTTCAGTTCTAAATAATTGATTGAAGACCTAATTTTTTTTATTCTTTGGTGCCACAGACAAGGATATACTCATGTACTGTGGGGTTTGAGTTGAAGATACCTTGTGCAGATTTCAACTGGAAGATACATTTTGCAAAATCAGCAGGTCTGACCTCAGCATAAAATCAGGTTAGGAAAATAAGCATGTAATGCTGTGAAATACTTTTTCTTCCTAGCTTGGGACAGAGACTAGATGTTCTAGTAACAGAATTTGTCTGAGAATTGTTTTTTTTTTATACCATTTATTGATACCTGAATAACAAGCATGATGAGGCTTTAGTGCAAAATTACTACAGTTAACAGTTGGAAAGCAAATATATGCTGGAGGAACGCCAAAGGACTGTCTTATGCTTTTATTTTTCTTTAGATAACAGCATATACTTATATACAGAAAGCCATAACTGTCTGTAAATGTTACATATTCTTAATAACAAAGACCTGAGCCCTCAGTAAAATGAAATCATTGGTCCTCAATTTAAAGTTGTGTGAGAGTCTAGAAAGAAACTTCCAGGCTCCTCTACACAGGGTGAATAGTGTGCTAAATTTTCTGTTCAGGAAGAAAAAGAGCATGTTCAGTAATTGGTTTAACTACCTGACCACAGTGAAGAAATACCCGTGTTTCATGCATGGTTATTGAGTAGTGGTGATACTTTCAATATCCATCAGGTGGCAGCGTAAGTGTGAAATAACGCTATCTATCTGCTTTGTTTAATTACACTGCAAACTTTCTACCAAGGTAATCATAACATGTTTGGATTCTCCTTTATACAAAAATCCTTAGGAAAAATAATGATC